CTATTAGAAAGTTAAACTCGCTGCTCTGGGGAAAAGAAATATCCAAGTGTACCAAGAAAAGACTTTTCAACTCTATCATACAAAGTATAGCATTGTATGGTGCAGAAAGAGGTAGTAAGAGGCCAATAGAGGCAGACAGAGAATGTTAGACTGAGGAAGAAAGCTACAGAGAGACAGCGAGAGACACAGAGACAGCACAGGAGGATGCAATGGTAAGATACAGAACAGATTGTCAAGAACTTACGACTAGTATTTAAATACAATGAAGAGTGAAATATTTATTTGAAAAATTAATGTAATATTTTCACAATATTATAAATTATATTGAAATTAAAATGCTTTACTATTGCTTTGCTTACTAGTGCTTTGAGTGATGCAAAAAAACAACACAACAGAGTACATTTTTGAGTAGAGTACAAAAGTAACTTACTTGCACTCTTAAAAGAGTATATCTGGCAACACTACTTAGAAGTAACTATCCCAGAGAAATTTAAGGATAACTTTTCTAAGAAGATAATTACAAAATACTTATTTTGAAATTATTTTATTTTAAAATTATTATTTTTAAATAAGTTTTGTACATCTCCTTAATAAGTCTTTAAAAACTAGGCCACTTAATTTTTTTTTGTCTTTCTGCACCTTCTATTTCACTTTCTGGCTTTCACCTTAAACCTTCGGAAGTTGGGTGCCGTTTTGGGGTCAGTAGTAATTACTCCCATGCCTCCCATCCCCACTCATTTCTTTCTAATATTAATATCAATTTGCAATTTCCTAGAATAAATGTCTATTTTGAAAACCTAAAATTGATAAATGAATTTAAATTGTGTCAAATTCAATATAATCTAAGCGGCAATCATGTATTACCTTGCTTATGGTAACTTCTGCAAATAAGATATTTTCTTATTTACGTATGAAAAATGTAAACAATAATGCTAATTTTTATTAACCTCTTATTGTTCTCAAGCACCACAAAAAATTCAATTGTATGTAATAACACAAGTGAATCTGTATACACAGTTATCACAAATAGATTGGAGATGCTTATAGTCTTCACATGACAGTGCGACAGTCCGTAAACAGGCTCAGGCCTACCAGCAATGTCCCTGCCTCATGGCTGTGAGTTAAGGGGGTACGTGTGGTTAGCATGTAGACATCCCCACACCGTAATCTGATTTTCTCAACTTGAGAAGTGAATTTTCTCGTTACACAGCAACATACACTGAGACATTGTAAGGAAAATGCACACTATATTTTTAAGCAAAATTTTTAATGCATTTTATTGTTGAAGGAAATTTAATAAGTGGAGGATTATGATTTTTGTGATTTGGAAACGATCATGAGTATCAATTGGGATGACTAATTCAATTTCCAAGTTAGAAAGTTTTGAAAATGATTGCTGAAGTGTTTTTCAACAGTATTTCTTTGATGGAATAAAGAAGTGAACAAATGTATTGGTCTTATAAATAAATTAAAATAAATAAATTTAAAAAGAAGTTCAAATAAAAAAAATAAATTTCTTTTTTAGTTTGAAATGTATGAATTATTTCAACATGAAAATTGAATTGTATTAAATTTCAGAAAAATATGCATCTAAATCATTAAAATAAGTCACTACATATAACATTAGACTATCGAACTATTCATGAAACAATTTTAAATGTCACCAAAAAATAGAAAAGGGAATGATGTAAGATTGAATCAATATCAAAATAAGATCCTTTTGCTATCCATTCATTGATCTCTATCTCTAGGATGTTATGATCATTTAATATGGATTGTACATAGCAAAAGTTATTCACTTGCTAAAAGCTATAATTATCAATAGTTATTGTATTTAAACTTGTAGTACTGGATTTTCTACTCAGATAAACTTGGTTGTTGATTTGCTTGGAGGCCAACTTGTTCTGTGGATGCTCTTAGGTTATAAAAAATTTCTGTAAGTGCTCATTTATTTCTGGCAATTAGAACAATATCATCTGTGCTTACAGCAATTAGTTTTAGTTTATATGTCACCTCTTAGCTCTTATTTCTTTACAGCATAATGTCGAGACTCTGAAAAAGGTTGCAGAAAGGGGGTCATATTGTCTTACAGCTTATTAAATGTAATGGGATCCATTTTCAGATTTTGAAGCTTAACTGATGCAGTTGTATGCTGTATTATCTTTTTGACAAGTATTATTATTTTATTTGGTTTTCAACATTCTTGCATTGCTTGTATTGCTTTGGTTCTGCTGACCGTGTTGAATATCTGTTTAAAGTCTGCATACAAAATATGAAATTCAATATTACATTCTTGGGCTTTCTCAACTATTTGTCATATCATATGGAAACTATCTGTAGTGGCTCTATTATTATGAAATCCATTTTGATATTTTTAAGGATGTTTTCAACATAGTCCTTAAATCTATTATTTATTATTATGAGTTGGATTTCGTATACAACAAAAAGTAATGAAATTCATTTCCTATGAAGAGTCCATTTTATCTCCTTTTTTATGAATTGGGTATAGGGAATTACAAATAATTACAATTCTGAATTACAAATTATTTTAATAGCACTATACCTGAATGCCACAAGAATTCTTCAACCAGCAGATATCACTGTATTTCAACCAATCAAAACTGCTTGGATGAAAGGAGTGCTAACATGGTATCATTCTGAGGCTCTCTCTAGAAAAGGCTTCGCTCTGGTTTTGGAGAAGGTAGCATGCAATAAAACCAGAAACGTTTCAAAATGATTTTAGAGCTTGTAGCCTTTTTTCCTGGTGCCCTGAGAGCATGTACAATGAGATTGCATCAAATGTAGATAATGAAAACATTGTAACCACAACACAGAATAAATCATTGACATTTGAAAAATTCCATGATATTGTTGGAGAAGAAAGAATATAAAAGTTCAGTAACATTAAGCAGAGCGCTCCATCTGGAGGTAACACGTAATCAGGCTAACCTCAGGAAAACAAACGTCAATTCTACATGAACATATTTATTCATTCAAGGTTTAAACACATTTGTAGGAGGTGAATGAAATAAGGACATTTGTCCAACTAGCACTTCAATACACACTTGGAAAATGGAAAGAAGCAGCAGCAAGTCTCTTTCCTCCAGAAGTTCACGGAAGTATTTTCTTCAGGGCAGATGCCAGTGTGGAAACACATTCAATTTTAAGAACTATGATGTGTTATGCCAATTGTTACAAGGTGTTTTACAAATCATATCTTTCCTCAAAAGATTCTGAAGAGGAAAGTGATTCAGAGGACATAAACATATTTTGTGTGTGTGTAAAATGTTTAGACTTATTAAATGGCTGAAGCTTAATAAAACAGAAATAACAAGCCAATTCCGTTCAACTATGCTATTTGAGTTTGTTGGGCTTTTTAAAATTCATTTTCTGAGTGCCCATCATTATATTACAAAGAGCCTACCTTAGTCTTGAAAGTGCCCATCATTGTACTTTCTGTCTTATTTTAGTTCCACATTTTATAAAAGGGTAAGTATAATGTTCAACCATTTAAGTTAGTAGCCTCATAAATGTACACATGTAGAAATTCATTTGCGAACTTTGAATTTTCTATTGTAAAAATAAACAATTATTCATTGCATAAAACATATTGGTTGCCCTCAAAGTGCTCATCACTGTGTGCTCTACTGCTCTACCCTGTTATAGTGTTGCCACTAATTTCGGATTTTTTCTTGTTTCTTAACTTCTAAAATTAGCCCATATGTTTTATTATTATCCTAAATTTAATTATTGCCCTAGTTTTTCTCTCAATATTGTTTTTCTGGTTAAATTTTTATCCTGAACAGCTTGTTTACATTCTTCATCATACCACTTTACATTCTTTCCTTGGTTTACTGTACTTACAGTAGTGTTGGCTGCGGTTCTTTATGTTATCCCACTCCAACTCTAAAGTCCTTACTAATTTCATTTTCCCCAATGTATTCATTTACTAATTGTTGATATTTTTTGTTAATTTCTGAATCTTGTCGTTAATTTACTGTCTATTTTGTGGGTTACTTGCAATCCACCATCATTACCACCCCAGCTGTCACAATCTTTAGTGATATCACTGGTATTCCCCAATTGCAGAGGCTGAACAGAAAGTCCTGCAAAATTTGAACCATATCTTTTAATTTTTGAAAGTATGAGTACATGACACGAAGCTCCTAAGATATTTTGAAAAGTATCTAAAAAATGACATCATGTACAATTTATCCAAAATATAAACAGTTCACAAGGTTTTTGAGTGAAATTGTGACAATTTTCCAAAAATATAGATTCTCTTTTTTGCTCAAGTTGAGCAAGGTACTCTTAAAAATATTTTAGATATGTTTTTATTAAAAATCATATTTCAAAAGTTCAAATTTTTGCGATTCTTACCTATACTTTGGTTTCTGAAGCCTAAGACTTCTTTGTAATGCAATCTACTCAGTAAAAGCAGATATTAAAATATTTTATAGAGCTTCAACAATGCACTATTTTGGATTAATTTTCTGATTGATCAGGCTCAACTTCAGGTCTTGCAAATTTCAAAGAAATCATATCGGCATCATTTTCCACCAATATAATTGAAAAGTTAATATTGGAAAAGAAATTTAAACAAATGAAAAATTTACTTCAAAATATAAATGAAAGGATGGGTGCAATACTGACACTTCCTCAACTTATTCTTGAAATGCAGAATTTGGGTATGGCAATGATGTAGAGGAAATCTAACTGTTTAGGTATTATTTCAAAGATTCACAAATATTAGTATTATTATGTGACATTCTTAAATGGAAACTCATAAAGGTACAATTGCCCTTGTGGAGGATATCAATGGTGTTACTCCATCCCCACTGATCCCAGAGTTTGTCTCGCTGTAGGTTGGGCAAAATTGTCAGATTTTGGAGTCTTATGGAAAATGATATGTTTGTGGTGGGGACTGCAGACAAGAATAATGCCTTATCTAAACGTTCCAGCTCCCACCTATATGGCTAAATGGATATTTTTTTGATTTTGCAGTGTTTTTTGACACAAAACAGAGAGAATTTCCTTGCCACCAACCCCAATTTTAAAATCTTGCAATCAACATCGGACATTCTGTGTAACATCATAATTATTATTTTTCATCTTTTAGAAGCTGCATCAAATATTTCATATGCAAATCAAAAAGTACTGCTTCAAACACAGTACATCGTTTCTATTTTCTGAAATCTCTGATAATGAACTTCATAAGTATAATTGACCATTTTGTTGCATACAATGCCAAGTAATGTGCAATGCTGAGCTGAATTTACTTACTTGAATATGAATGACATTCAACAATGCTGCCACAGCAGCTGCACTAAAATGTTCATCATCATTGTTGCACTCTCATTGATAAAATATTCTTAATCTTCACTTTCCTTGCAGAAAATATTCCAGAATACAATGTAATATAAAGATCTTATCAATTTACATGAGAGTTTAATTTATCCTTCCTGTATTTCCTACATTTTATTCAGATATATATTATATAAAAAATGTGCACGATTTTTTAAAATTATATATTACATGACATGTGATATTTATTATTTTAATATTTTTATAGTCAAAATTCCAGAGGTCACTTTTAATCCGAAGATATTTGACCCCTTTTCCGCGGGGAGCATCCTCGTAGAGAAGGTAGTTCTCAGGAATATAAACCGAAGCTCTGACGTCACGGATCAGGGGAACATGAACCGCCTAAGTCAAACATTCTTCCATATCTGCAACCAACGACCTCCTCGCTCTGTATGGAAACCGCGCGCGCCAAGAGCGATTCACGTAATGAGTTTAATAATTTATTAAAAAATTAGTTCAAAGATTTGGTTTGAATGCCGACCGGGATTCGAACCCGGGTCTTCTGGTTAACGTCCTATTGCTCTAACCAATTCTTTCAGCAAATTTAATTATTAAAATGCATTGTTACTATCATGGCGGCAATTCGGATTTCTTAACGATTGCGGAATATACTCTCCGAGCGAAATTGCGTCCAACAAGGAAGGTGACGGAAATGGTGACATATATTAATGAGATTAATGAATGACCTCTTTACTTTACAAAGTACCGTCATAAGGCATTTTCACCGCGAATGCGTACTGACGGATGCGTACCCGCGCAAAATGAATGGTTTCAAAATCATCAACGAATCATTCATTTACAAACGAATTATATGCGGTTTTCATGCGAATCAAGGAGGTAAATACTGACCACTTGTCATGTTACTCTCATACTTGGCGCCTTTATGTTGGTGAACGATGGGATTTCAGATACGAAAATTCAATTATGAATCTATCACGAAAAATCATTATAAATTTTACTAATCAACGAATTTAAACATTATTAACAAATTATAAAACATTTTAAATATATTTTAAGTATTAGTAACTTGTAAAACTATTTTCCTGCACACTGGCATTTTATTTTAATGTGATTGAAAGGGTTCCGTGAATTAAAAGGGAGAGAAATGTGGCTCTGTTACACAAATAATTCAAATAATCTCTGGTGAATTATCTCGATTTCTCTAATCTCAATGAACTCAAAATTATGCAACTTGTGAATCACAAAAACGACTTTTCCCCAAAATATTTTTCTGAAAATTCTACACAAAAAAATTATATTGCTCTTCTGATATCTTGTACCATATAAAGATAGACAATTTAATATCTCCTGAAGTATGTTAATCCTTAAAAGAAGCTGAGGATAGCACTATATCCAATTTTCACCGATAGTCTGAATTCTATAGTTTACGAGGATTTTAGTGTTACAAGAATTGTAATCAATTATTGATAAATATGATATAATTTGAATTTTCACTTAGTGATGAATGCATGTAATAACTGGATCAGCTGAGGCATAAATGTCTGTGCATGTCGAAATGCGAGTTTCACTACATTTACCCCAAACATTTACCCCCATTTACAGAAAACCAAGTTTATTACAGTGGTAGCTGTATGACCTTGGCAGTTGAAATAACAACCTTAAAATAAATATAAAAAAACAACAACAACAACATACAAATATAAATACAAGACTGGAAAGGGGTTTTCTGATGATATTATAGACATTCAGTGCACAAAGCTTTAGTTTCTTAATGTAGAGGAAATTTATGTTCTATTCTTTATTTATGATTTTTCATAACAGTTTCATATTTTTCATAATTCAGGTAGGACCACATCTTCAGGGATATTCAAATTTTGGAAAATATATTTATATTTAAAGATTTATCAAAATAAGATTTTTGCTAAAATGTAGGAAAATAAACAATGAAAACTTCTATTAAATAAAATATGTTAAGTTAAGTAATTGTTTGAATGTAATATAACATTAAGACAATAGAATAAGCCACAAAGGCTCTTATATCAAGTTAAAGTATAAAATATAATTCAATAATAACAATGACATTTAAAACAAGCATATTCAGAAAAAACTTTTAGGGAAGTTAATTTTAAAAAAAGAAGTCAAAATCAAGTTTCAATAATGATAACACACTCAGGAAGTATAATGTGCAAAGAATATACTAAATAAATAAAGGCTCAGCTAGCGAAAAGGAAGCGTAATAAATATACACGTTTGTGGTGAAATAAACACATAAATAAAGTTGCTTATTGAAACATTAAAAAATAAACAACATATACACTGATTTATTCTTTTAAATATATGGAATTCAAATTTAATAATATCATTTATAAATGATCTGTCACACCTATAGGTGGTTCCTTCAACACTTTTTGCTGAATAGGTAATAAGAAGACTGGGAGAGTCTATTCTCCCTCAATTAGAATTTTTTTTTTACAAGAGATATATGGACAATGTATCATACTATGCATTGAACATGTTGACAATATTTTGAATGCACAATGAAGGTAAAATAAAAACAATTTTTTCCAGAAATATTACAATTCAGGTAGAGCTATTTTTATCCATTACATTCTTCTCAGTGAAAGAAAGCAGTCTAAAATTATAACTTCCAAATTTTGATGGATGGAATATTACCATTCTTTTCAATATTCTCACTGAAAATAATTATCCTAGACCAGGGATTTCTAACTTTCTTGTTGCATTGACCCCTTTCAAAAGCTTCCTCATTCTCCCCTTATTACAACTCTGTAATATATTATTTGGAGCAGATTTTAATGACCTAAAACATTGCCACAAATGTTCAATAAAATGCTCCTAAAATGGTTTTAAAATGCCCTAAAAGCAAAGAAAAATGACGTAAAAAAGTGATTAAAACTAGTTTAAATGAACAACAGAGGCTGCTTACTGAATAATGGAGGCTTCTTCCTTTCGGTCAAGTAAACTTGGCTAGCAAACGTTTGGTTTGGAGGCGAGAGAAGGCACAAAGCCACTGTCCTCGACTGAAAACGACGTGATATCCAACAATGTTGGAAATACATTGAACATTGTACGTGGAATATAAAATGTAAAATTTACTCAACTTGTGGCCGAGAGTGTACAATTATATAATGTATAAATCAAAATATTAAGAATTGCAGTGAGTTCTAAAAAGGATTCTACAAAATCTCATTTGTCGGTTCAGTTTTTATTACACGGGAGTATATTTTTTCTTACGACCAAATCTTGCGAACAACTCTCGTTGCTACCTCTTTTCATAATTCAACTTAATATAGAATAAGAGCTGAGGTGGGAATTCAAGTGATCACAAAAGATAATCTTTTCCCCTTTACGTCACATACAGTTTTTACAGAGTTTTTTTTTTTGACTGAATAAATCTAAACTTATTCACATTGAACATCTTCCACGTAGTATGTCAACTCATGTTTTAAACTGTTTTGGAGTTAAACAAAGAAATAAATAATTCTTTAATTAAACAGGTAAAATCAGAAATGACATAACAAAAAATCTCCATCTGCTAAAGAAAGAATATTTTAACAAACTATTTGTAAATAGAAGAAATGACATTAAAAACACTTGGAGAACAATAAATAAACTACTTGGTGTACCAGAGAAAAAATCTTTAGATGAAGTCATAATAAAATATTTATGGAAAAGTAACTCAATTGAACAGATAGTAGAAAGATTTGCTATCACTTTTCAACAACAGACGGAAGACATTGTACATAAATGAAACCTAGCAGTCCTGCCAAAAAATGTAATAACAGAAAGTAACTCTTTGTCTGAAATCACATTAGAGGATACTAGTTAATTAAAGGTTTATTATTTAATTAAAGGGATGGACTATAATAAAGCTCCAGGAATTGACAAAATAGCTATAACAGATACAAAATTGAACATCAACTCAATAACACCAATTATAATGAAAATTATCACCTCAAGCATTAATGAGGGAACTTTTCCAGATGAATTAAAAGTATCCATTATCAGACCAATACATAAAGGAGACAGTCTTTTAATCTATGAAAACTATAGGCCAATTTCCACATTAAATACAATAAGTAAAATATTTGAAAAATACATATCGCAAAGACTGTCCAACTACCTGGAAAAATATAAAATAATAGATAACAATCAATTTGAATATCAAAAAAACAAAAGTACCATAGACTTATTGGAAAATCTAGGAGAAGTATTAAATGAAAAATTACACAAGGGATTGCATGCGATAGCATTGAGCATTGACTTGTCAAAAGCTTACGATGTAATAAGCCATAAAAAGATGTTAGATGCACTGGAAAGCATAGGGGTTAGAGGCAAAGTTTTACAGTTATTTAAAAACTATCTAGAAGGAAGATCATTTATAGTCAAAATAGATAACACTTATAGTGAAATAAAAACTGTGAAAAGGGGAATTCCACAAGGATGTTCCCTATACTTTATCTAATATTTGTGAATGACTTAAAAAATTATCTAGAAAATGGTTCCTATTATATTTATGTAGATGACAAGATGCTATTGTCTATAAATAGAGACCAAAAGAAGGCAGAAATGGAGTTACAGGAGAAATTTGAAATATTCCAAAAATGATGCCATGATAAAGGTTTAATAATAAATGAGAAAAAGACTAGAATACTGCATATCACAGCTCCAAAAATTGCAAGAGCACAAGTTAAAATATTCTTTCACAATGCATACACAAAGACTTTAAGAACTGTCAATGTAATAATATAATCAATTCAGTAAGCAAATTGAAGTATTTAGGTGTAACATTTGATCAAAATCTGAGCTGGAGGGACCAGATCATGGAATTAAGCGAGAAAATAAGAACGTGTTTGGAAACTAATGAGAATTAAAGATTTTGTATCTTATAACATTTTCAAATTGGTCTATTTCTCATTAATAGAGTCTGATCAGGTATGGAATTGGATTGTGGCGGGCTGCAGCAAAATTCCATGTAGATATTATACAGAACGTATAAAAAAATGTATTAAAAGTCTTAATGAAAAAATGAGCATAAAAACCAAACCCTGGAAGGGAGTGCAACAATACATGGAATCATGACTGTTACAAAACTGTATGAATTTTAAATTCTGCAAAAACATTTTTTCAATGAAAAATACAGAAAAATCAGTGGGCACAGCTATGAAACTACAAAAAAACACAATTTCATACTTCCAGAGACATTTAATAAATTTGGAAAGAGGATGCTGAACATAGCCATCCCAAAACTGCTCAATTCATTGCCGGATGAAATATTAGAAGTTACATCTAAAAGGGAATGGAAAAAAAAAAAAAATTAAAAGAATCGTACACAAGATACTAGGCATAACTTGAAAATAGAAAGCTCTGGAGTTATCACTTTAGCTTGTTGCCTATTGCCATTTTGTTTCATTTCTAATTTATTTGTTAATTTAAAAAAAAATTGGGGGGGGGAATTCTTTTAGATTTTTGATATGTCATTACAAGTTTTTAATATGTGAATTAAGTAAAACATAAATCTCATTTTTGCTAGTTATTAACTGTTATACTGTCATTACAAGATTTTATTTTGTTAATTATGTACAACTAAATCTTCACTGATACTGTAAACTACCATCATCACAAGAATCTAATTTGTAAGAAATGTGTAATGTTCCTGTTATACTAATTCAGTTCTTTGGTTTTAATTTGGTTATTCTATTTCATTTTTGTTTTACAATATATTTGTTAGTTTAGATAA